ACAACAGCCAATCACAGGAAGGGATCAGCTAAAGGCTCCATCCACTTAATAAATCATCTTTATTCAGCACACCATCCTTGCTTATGATATTCTGCTTCAACTTTAATCTACCTAAAAAGTGAAGGGTTAAGTATTTAAAAGCATTAATAATGTGATAATTAAATACTGCAATACGTAACGAGTGTTACAGAAACATGGGCTGACTACCTAACTTGTGACGTCATCAGTGGGGGTTGCCTCACGCAAATAATATCGATGATACAATGCTCCGTTATCTTATTGGACTCGATTATTCAGTTAGATGGAAATTTCGTCAGGTACAAAACGAAGAGGTTGTGTTTGAAATAAAGATATTGTTGTGTAAAAAGACGTATTTCTTAGTTTGCGTTTAATTTATAGAATAGTGTTGGCATTCCCAGCAACAGCCAATCACAGGAAGGTATTTGCTAAAAGTCCGTCTCCTTACTGACGTCTTCAGGAGCAACACACAGATCTAGCTTATGGCTTGCTGTTTCATCTCTTGTATATAAAAAATATTAATATTTCGGTTACTATGATTATTAAAAGTATGAGATATAGGCTTGTTCTTTAATCAGCTTCTTGGGTGGGAAAGGAGGGACAGTAATTTGGAAAGGAGTGATCTCCCATGGGGCAGGAAAGTGTTGTTGTTGTCTCTCTTGGTAGAGGTGATCAAGTTGTACATTCTGAGCACATTGGCAGTTTCGGTAATCTATTTGGAGGGATGCTGACCTTCAAGAAAGAAGGCTTGGAGGGCTTCAGTGCAGGGGTTAGGGTGGGTTAGCATAAGCATCTTAAAACCAATTAAAGCATTAATTTCAGTGATACGATCACTTACACATGAAATATTCAGTTCCTTCCTCATGTTTAGTAATTTAGTTGTACGGGGGCATCCGAGGATAATCATCATGGCTTCGTTTTGCATCTTTTCCAGCCCTCCAAGCATTCTCTCAGGACTAGAGCAAGCATGGGTGCAGCATAATCAATCAGAGACCTAATATATGAGAGATACATCATTTTGACAATTCTCACATTTGCACCATAGCTTGGATGGTAGCCTGCCACAGCCTTGAGAGCACAGAACCTCTCTCTACATTGGCGACCCAGTTTGGCTACAACATTGCGGTACAGAGGAACCTCTAGTTAGTTTAGTTCATTTATTATGCACCCCATACCCAACGCGTGGGCGGTAGCGGAAAGGGTTACAGAGGCACATAATGGGCTCAGGGACTGAACGCCACAATTCATTTAGCTAAGCAAGTTACAATCTTGATGAGCTAGTTACAAAGACCAAGGTATTTGTATCTGATTACACAGTCGAGCAGAGAGCCATCATTCAACTGCATTTTGCGAACGGCCCCACCTCGTCTGGGTGGGCGTCGGTTCAGGATCTTTGTTTTCTCTACTGAGATGACTAAGCCTAGTTCCTGACATGTGTGCAGTACAGAGTTCAGAACATTTTGGGTGTTGGTGTACCCATTGGTGTGGATCAGTATATCATCCGCATAGCTAATGATGTATTCGCTGGGCCTTCTAGTTACTAAGTTTAGAAGTGCATTGATTAACAAATTGAACAGAGTAGAACTGAGGACACCTCCCTGTGGACTGCCAAGTTCAAAATCTCTCGTTACACTCCTATGCCCTTGGAACAGTTCAGATGACCTCCTGTTGGATAGATAACCTCTTATCCACCGTAGAAGCCATCCTCCAACATTCATTTTAGCAAGTTCGCTCAAAATGACGTGTGGGTTAGCAATGTCAAAGGCTGACGTAAGATCTAGGAAAGTGATATATGACCTATCAGTATGCAGGGTGAGGAATGTGGTAATACAGTGATGTACACTCTTTCCATGCATAAAGCCATATATCTGGGGAGACAACATGTTATTAATTCTGTAAAGAAGACGGTTGAGAACCATCCTCTCAAGACACTTACAGAGACAACTAGTGAGGGAGATTGGACGAAAAGCACTCTGTTGGTTTGGTTTAGGAATGGAAATAATAAGACTGTTGGTCCATGACTTTGGAAGCTCCCAAGTTACATAGCTCATATTATACAATTCAAGCAAGGGATTCCCTGGAACTAGCAGAAGCATACGCAGTATGCCGTAAGTAACTCCATCCTCCCCAGGTGATGTAGCTTTGTCTTTATGTAGAGCAGAGTCTAGTTCGTATTCAGTAAAAAGCATGTCACAGTCAGCCTCTTGATGAAGCATGAAGTCAAGGAGCCTTGCTCCATCAGCATATCTATTATTTAATTCATTCTGTGTGGGTAGAGGAAGACTGTCAAGGCTGGAAGTCGTGGCCCAAGCATCAACAAGCTCATTTGCTCTGTGCAGAGGATTAGGTGCGAGATCTCTGCAGCATTTTTCTCTTTGATCTTGTTGATATCCTTCCATGCCCGCCTTAGTGGCATGTGATAATTGAGACCACTGACAAAAGTTTCCCAGTCTGTCTGCCTCAGCTCTACCATACGTTCTGTACTGGAGTCATCCGAATCACTGTGGAAATTGTACCGTTGGCTATTCGCATATCGTTTGCTTATATTTGGTGACTACACCTCAGCTTCCTCCAACAGGATGCAAAGAGTGTTACCTGTAATTAGGGAAAGTATTTGAGTACTTATAATTAGTTCTAATTAGGGTTGTCATTAAGGTAATGAGATATTGGAGCGAGTATAAGCATTACTTGCTACACAGCCTAACCTTAATAACATAACCTAATTCAGCCAAGCATAACAATACATCCATCATCTGGGTTGGGGGCAACAGTGCTTGCTTTGCTCAGAGCGGGTCCGTCTAATTACCCAAAGCTTCCTAACATTACGTTAGTAATAAATAAATATGATATATTTAATCATTATAATGATGGTGCTGAACGTTGAACATGGAAAAACATATTTTTACTCTGAAAAAGTATAATTTCATAACGAAATTAAACGAAAATAAGCTACAGGTGACGCCAAAGCGACAATGTTTTGGAGCGACTTATCCAAGACACATTGTTGCTTGAAGAGTGTTTGTTGGCATATCAGCCTTCTGTACCTACCTAACCTACCCAAGCATAACCCAACCAAACCTTATCTAACAAAACCTAACCTAACCTAACTAAACCTAACCTATCCAAATTTAACTTAATATAACCTGTAGGCAACACTATATTTTGGATAAGTCGCTCCATAATATTGTCGCTTGGATCGTCGACTTCCTATAGCCTCTCATGCCACTTAATTTCGTCATAAACTTATATTATTTCAAAGTAAAAATATGTTTTTTCATGTTCTACCTTCAGCACCAACGTTATAGTGAGTAAAAGTATCATATTTCTTCATTACTTATGTAATACTAGGAAGGTTCGGGTAGCTTTGGGCAATTAGACGTACCGCTCAGAGCATATAATGCTGCAAACACAGCCTTGAATACAATAAACAAAATTTTCAGGATTATTTAATTGGCTAAGACTTATCTGAATTTACCAGAGGGTCACTATCTCTCAGTGAGGATAGGAAGCCAGCGGCTTATCAAATGTCCCTTATTTACCCTGGTGATTTTATCGAGCAATGTTTTGGCATTTACGGCTTCGGCGGATAGGCAGTTCCACAAGTTTATAATTCTATGGGTGAAAAAAAATGTTTCCAATCCTTCAGTGTGGCTTGTTGAGCGTGAAACTATTGCTCCTTGTTCGGCTTACATCTAGCGTTTTGAAGAAGTGTTCTGGGTCAATATCTTCCAAATTCTTCAGTAATTTAAAAGTTTTGCCGAGAGCAGCCCTGTCATGTCTGGTCCCTGTGGCCCGCAACCGTTCCTGGTATGAAAGTTGATTTACTTCGAAATTTTTTTAGTCGCCCGGTGTTTAACTTTCTCCAAAGCAGATATGTCTTTCGGATGATGAGGTCTCAATGCGTGGATATAATAATCCACAGCCCGTCCTCCAAACAAAGATCCAAAAGTGATTCCATGCACCCGCCAAACCCCCTGTTTATGAATGAAAGGCGGTTTACACACGACTCACAACTGATGACGTCCGAACATATCCGGAACAAGTGTTTCACTGACGAGTTTTGTTCGAATCACAACGCTATAAATGCTTCATCCACGTACTACAAATACAAATAATCGCCAACAGAACCTAAACCTTACCTAACCTATGCCTATATATGCACAATATGCTAATATATTATAATATTAATTTATACTTGAGAAAATTCCCGTTTTGAATGAACAGCATGTTAAAATTTATGAATGCGTCTGTGGTGTCGACCGCTGGATGTAATGGACTTGAGTCGAGGACGGGTTGTAATCCAAGTGGAAGCACACCAGAGATTTATACAGTTGAATAACTGCCTTTTCCTTCTTCAAAATTTCGCTTGGCTATTCCTAGGATTTGGTTTGCTTTTATAGCTTCCACTTGTTGTACAACTATCAGTGATTGGTGGATTCTGACTCCAAGAAGTTGTGATTTGTTGAACTTAAAATCGTTGTTCCTTGTTTGTGATTGATGAAGATTAAGCCACCAAAGAGGTGGCACGGGCATGTAAGTGGAAGATTTTTTTTGGAGTGAATGTGATCTTTGGTCGTAAAAGGATATCCTGTGTGCTGTGCTCGCATTTAAATCGCCAGTCTGTCGCTGCTAGAGCAGGGTGCTTGTTTGTGTTGTATCTGACCTTCTAAAGAAGGTCTCCCCAATTAGTCAGAGTCTGGTCAGGTGGCGGATTGTACCAACAAACAATAGTTTGAAAGTTTCATTCAAATATTTCCCATTGTAGATCAGTGCAGCTTACTGTTACATAGTAAGTTTACGCGATCAACAACAGAAACACAGCTTAACACAAAGCGCCAACATACTGTAGTGGCGAACTGTAGGTACTTCAGACATGACGGTAGAAATAGCCTAAGCTACTCTATCCTTTTTGAGATGTATCTTATTGTCTCCATAAACGAACTTGAACTTCAGACACGCTGGGTACTGACAGGCCATCAAACTTGATTTTGTAACGTTTATTGAGGTAGAAATATTTAGTATTTATGAGGTCGAAAAAAAACTTGTATTAACGTTTACCAAAACTATTATATGATGTATATCCAGCGTACGTAACTCAGCCTAATCAAAACATACAATTCTTAAAGGTATTCACGCTGTATAATAACACTAATATACATGGTGTGTAAGTATGATGTGTGAATACACTAATTTTCATTCCAACAATTTAACAGCATCATAAAACATGCACATCGACATACTGTGTATAACAAGTATACTGTACAGCTCTAGAATACACAGGTATTGTATATTATTACATCATTCACAATGTGAAAACATACACTGCCGTTTTTTCTAGAGTGAAATGTTGATGATGAGGCCCAAAATGAAAGGAAATAGGTATGTTATCTAGGTTATACATTTGTGCTGTCTTAGTATATACATCTGTGTTATCTTATGTATACATCAGTTATCTAGGTAATATATATATTCTTATATTAGTTATGCACTCGTGTTATCTAGATAATGTTATATTAGTTATACACCTGTGTTATCTTGGTTATACGCCTGATTATATGCATACAGAATTAAAACACGATTTACAACACAAAGGTAAAGAACCTTTTTTAGTATAAATAATTTGTTGAGATCTCTAAGACATCTTTGGTATTTTTATGAAAGTTCAGTGGAACGTTGACCTTTTGAGAACATTTCAGAGGGGGGGAGGGTCCTTTGCTCCCTCGGGAAGAGGTTAGTTGAAGCCCATTTGTCTTTTATGCATCAAAATTCTTGTATAGTTGAAGCAAATCCTTATATCCTTATGAGCATCACTGCAATACTGCAGTTAGTTCTCTCAAACGTAATTTTGCAGCACCTTAAGCTTTACCTCTAAAGGTCAGCAAAAACCTCTTTAATTACACTAAAGTTTGCTAAAGCACCTTTTTTAATTGCACTAAAGTTCACTACAACACCTCTGTAATTGCACTTTTCATTCCAAAAGCAGAACTTCTAAGCGTTTTCACCAGCTGTTCATATGGAGCTAAACACACAAAAGATTCGTTGTTTGAGAAAAGGTTTTAGCAATGTGGGAGGTGTCAAAACCCATCCACTGCTCCTCCTGCCCGGCGGTGGTCTGCAACGGCCTGGACCTTCCCGTTCTGTGCCCTGACGATGGCATAGACGGCAGACCCTTCCTCGCCTCCCTCTTCCTCCTCCTCTGTCCGGTGACCCAGGGATTGTAAAGCGGTGACGAGTCTCTGAAACAATGCTTGTTTTAATCACAGAGTGCTGAAGGGAGGGAAGGGGGGAAGAGAGAGAGAGAGAGAGAGAGAGAGAGAGAGAGAGAGAGAGAGAGAGAGAGAGAGAGAGAGAGAGAGAGAGAGAGAGAGAGAGAGAGAGAGAGAGATAGGGGAGGGGGGGGCATTGCGCCCCTATCTTCGGAGGAATGAGCATTAGGTGTGATGACACACACACACCAACGCCCGTCGATCAATACCAGAGGTGTGTGTGTGATGCTGGCAGCTTCTCCATTATTCAGTCACACACACACTGCACACATTAACAAGAGCGCTCCGGATACCCACTGCACGACTTCACTAAGTGCATCATGTACTCTCCATGACCTCCTGTGTCCTGCCTCACCTGGACAATGACGGGACACCTTCCATCACACACAACAACGCACCCTTTATAAGTCTATTTTTTATAAACATATTTAACAAAAGCGATTTCCTCACGATAAAAAGTTTACATCAGGACATTTTAGATACAGAATGTTACTTGTCGCAAAAAGTCTGTCAGAAGACACTTAAGTTCAATCCATTCATAGCAAATGGACCTACATTAAGGTTCTCATCACATACTTAAATAATAGATTTACTCATCACAAACTGACTTACAGGAGAGTTACACATCACAAGCATGCATGAGGGATTTATTCGTCACAGGCTTACAGGAGTTACTCATCGTGTAGAGACTTACGGGTGAGAGTTCTCTCTCATACACGAGAGTCATGGGCTGCATCCGTAGGTGGAATCTAGGGGCATCGACGGCACTCCCGAGGTCCTCACCGAGCCAGAGGGAGCGAAGGACAGCCCACCACACTCCTGAAGGAGCTGCCCCACCTCCTGTGCCACCCGCCACCATGACAACGTCTCCGCGGGTGTCCACCACCACCGCCGGGATGAGGGAAGAGATGCCACGCCGCCCTGCCAGGATGACACGGCGAGAACATGCAACTATCAACACTGACCATACCATCGCCTTGTTGACTCCTACACCCGCCGACTTTATCTTAACCAAGTTTGGGTAGTAGTTTTACTCTCACAAACTTTGAATATGTTTGCTACTTTGACTGTTGTTTCTGATTTTATATTAGACTTTGATTTTGGCTTAGACTGTCTTTGAATTTGGCTGAGACTGCCTTTAACTTTAAATCTGGCTTAGTGTGAGTGACTGGTGATTCTTGAGGTGGAGGACTCACCAGGTGTGGCAGGTGTGGGGCGGGAGGGCTCGGGGGCGGGCCGCAGGGACGGGCCTCCCCCTCTGCTGCTGCCGCTGCTCACAACGATACCTGTCCGGGGCAAGCGGACCCACCGTCCCAAGCTGAGGACACATCCCTCTTCTTAATAATAATTTATTATTATTTTTTAGTTAACATTTCACTTGTTACTTGTAATGAAAATAGAGAAGATAAACCTCCCCTTTGGGAATTATGCTTATTGGTCGTATTTTAGATAATATGATTGTACAAGAAAACATTTCCCGTTTAAATGTTCTTCCGAGACATCAATTTTAAAGTGAAAAATAGATGTAACGTTGAAAGGAATATTTTAATGTTTTTAGAGAAAACACTTGTGACCAACGCTCCCCCTTCCTTGTCACTAGAAACCGTCTTCTGAGGAAACTTAGGAAATATGTCTTACCACTTATAAATTGCGCTGGTAACGGAGACGGCATCACCATTGGGCGCCAGCAGCGAGAAGTGGGAGGTGCCGCAGTCACCCACGGAGGTGGGGATGGCACCAGGGTCACCCACAGTGCCAGGTGAGGCACCGTAGTGCTCAGAGTCGTGGAAGGTGGTATCATCCAAGATCTGACGCCTAACACTAGCAGCGAAGTCATCGGAGGTAATATGCGCAAGCTGCGGTGGCGAAAATTAAGATGTTATTTTCATAAAGTCTACCTGAAGTCAGTATCTAGGCAAGTTCTCTCTATGTCCCACACACACAAACAATTCATAATCGCCTCCTTGTTGGTGATATGAGAGCTCGTTTAGCAGGTTAACATTGTTGAGAGCAATGCTAGCATCTGGGCGATGTCGGCACTGTATCAATTCTACCTTGTAGGCCATTAGTAGACAAGGAATTGTCTAAGGTATTGTCTACTTTTAACTAAAGAACGTAGATACATTGGAAAAGGTCCAGTGGCTGTGCTGGTCCAGCTTTACCCAAGGGCCTCACCTGGGCGGCATCCGCAGGTTGAGCAAAGGTCCACTTGAAGGCTTCAGCGAGGCGGTGATAGGTCAACACCGTGTTTCCGTCACTCATGCTGCCAGGAGTGAATCCAAACTCATCTATCAGGTTGAGGAGGAAGCCCAGTGCGATGCCAGAGCCTGGAGGCCCAGGGGTGTGCAGAGTCAAACTGCCATTATGGAGGCGCACGCTCACTGGGTCCTCCCAAGACGGCCTGTTGTGTATACGAAGAAAACTTAACTATTAGAAAAATGCCTTCTCAAATGGTGGAGCTCGTCGCTTTTTAAAGTGTTTTAAACATGTAATATTTACAACTGTTATTTACAAATTAAATGCTCAAAACAGACCAGAAATATTTATGGTAAATAACAGGCGTCCATGAAAAGGCATCCAAAAGCGTTTTTCACTACACTCTTCCCAAATACCGTCATATTTACACTCTTCATTTGGTCTGAAGAAGACGCAGTTCGTGTCAAGGACCGACCTGTAACCTTGTAGGTCTTGGCTGGTGAGCGAAGCTCCCATGTTGTCAAGGTCGTGGAGGAGATCCTTGGCTAGGGCGCCCGTGTATAAAGCGTCCGGGTCCCGCTGAAGAAGGCGCAGCGTCCTGGCCAGCTGGGGCCGTCTCATGGTCTCTCCCTCCCGGTACACCTCACCGCTCGATGGGCTCACGAACACTCTGTTGGACAGAGGCATAGAGTCGTCTATAGCCAGAGAGCGAGAGAAAGTGCGTGTAGCCTATCATAAATATTAGTTGCAGTGGAATCAGTAATGGTAACAGTAGCAAGAATATCACCATTTAAAGTCATCTTAGCTGGGAAGGTCACTTGGATCACGCAATATTAAAAACTGTGACGCAAATCACCATAACGCCGCAGAGGTTGTGGAGCAGCGCACCTCATGCTGGGGTGGGAGTAGACGGTGCCGGCGGCCTGGTGGAGAGCCCTGGCCAGGCGCCCACTGACGGGGTGGCCCTCCTCACACAGCCTGATGGAGGGCTCCAGCAGGTCCGCCCAGGCCACCTGGCCTCCTAGCTTCTCGTAGAGCACACGGTATCCACGCACGGCTCCTGGTACCCACGATACCCCGCCATCTGTGGGTAGTGGCAATGGCCGGGGGTGTGGGTCAGTGAGACGGGAGAGGAAAAGGGGTCAAACAAGAACGTTGAGATACATATAGACAGGATTATCCTCCACAAAATAATTTCTGAGGAACAGCTTTATTAATATGAAATGAGAGACCAGTTGTCACAACCGCAGAGATATATTACAACAAGTGCGGGCTGACAGTGTTTTCTGCCCGTGTCTATGTTAGTGCACAAGCTCAGCAAGACTGTCACTTGCTTAGCTAAATGAACTGTGATACCTGGTTGATACCTGGTTGATGGGGTTCTGGGAGTTCTTCTACTCCCCAAGCCCGGCCCGAAGCCAGGCTCGACTTGTGAGAGTTTGGTCCACCAGGCTGTTGCTTGGAGCGGCCCGCAGGCCCACATACCCACCACAGCCCGGTTGGTCCGGCACTCCTTGGAGGAATAAATCTAGTTTCCTCTTGAAAACCCCTGACTGGGGTTCAGTCCCTGAGCAAACGACATACATATGCTAACCCATGGTGGACAGGGCACCGAACTTTCAAACCTCCTCTCGCTCTACACCCGCATCCTCTTCCAGAATGTCACCTCCCAAGCCCTCTACCTCCCCCATCCTTTCCAAACCCTTTGGACATCAAAGCAAAGCAAGCATAGAAAACGAAGCACGCGTCCTCACCTTCGTGACCAGCGTCGCCCTGGGAGCGGTCACTTGTCATAGCATCAAGGGTGTAGGTGTGGCCTGTGGCGCGTTCATAGTAGGTCAAGAGGAACCCACCTCCCACACCCATGGACTGGGCATTGATCACCCCCGCACAGAACAGTCCTGCTACTGTTGCGTCCGCTGCGCTCCCATTCTTTGCCAAGATTTCCCTGTTGAAAGATGAAGTTACGGCAACGAAGAGAAGATTGTTATTACATTTCTTGAATTATATGTTTCTTATATACGGTAGTCTACCTCTTGAAGATGCCAAATCTTGAAAGTCTTACTAAGACCTTATTCAAGCCTTGGTGTGCGGCGCATGCCTATACTGTCATAAGATCCAGAGAAAGGTAGTTGATTTATATTGCATCATCTTACATAGCAATATCTGCGTGAATGATGGCAAGTGAAATTATGGTTACAATGTGTAGTGTGTCACACTACACAAGGCTGACAGTGCCACTGTGGAACATTTACCGTGAAGCGCACGCCACCACTGCACGGTGCGCCAGGAATATTGTGCGTCAGACTTATCTTCGCCAGACCACACTGGATCTTAGTACTTTGGTTTTCAGTGGCCTGATACTTACGTGGCGATGTGAGCACAAGGTTGGCCGCCGTCAGTAGCAACAGCTGCCTTGAAGAACTGACCCAGGTGAGACGCCGAGGAAGGCGCTGACGAGGACTTTGCTGCTTCTTCCTCTCGCCCATTGAGGGTCTTCCACAAGCTGCCAGGTTCCTGGTTGGGGCAGTGACAAAGGGCTGAGATTAGCTCCACTGGCCGCGGAAACAAATTTAGATAAATTAGATCATTATGGATACTAATTTACCCATCCTATACTCACCTATCTATGCTTGCGGGGGTTGAGCTTCAACTCTCTGGTCCCGGCTCTCAACATTCAGTTGACTGGTATACAAGTTCCCAAGCCCTCTGGGCTCTGTCATATCTGAATCTGAACCTGCGTATGGAGTCTGTTTTTATCGTTTCGTTTCCTCGCTCTTTCCAGTTATTTACTACTGCGACGCATAAATAGTTTCTAATATCCCCGTGATTCATTTCCTCAGCGGCTGCCATGCCTCGAATCTCAGAATCCATACAAGTTTAGTTCTCTCAGCATGTACTCTCCCGCCTCGAGTGCTAGGATAACACAGTTACTTCACTCTCTGCACTCCCTCACATGCGGTCTTACCCACAATGGCACTCTACAGCGCTGCCTCATCGCAACTGCAGCCTTACTGCATATTGCTGACCTCGCTTGCCAGGTGAGGCGCCAGCAACACACTGCGCGAGTACAACTCCACTGCTCCGCACCTGTAGTGTGTCCCTTATGTGTGGCTAGTGACGTTAGTTTCCACTCCCGGTGTGTTCAATCGCGGTACTTCCACACCAGGTGTGCCCAGTCACGGTACTACCACACCTGGTGTGCCCAGTCATGGTACTCCCACACCTGGTGTGCCCAGTCATGGTACTCCCACACCTGGTGTGCCCAGTCATGGTACTACCACACCTGGTATGCCCAGTCACGGTACTTCCACACCTAGTATGCCCAGTCACGGTACTTCCACACCTGGTATGCCCAGTCACGGTACTTCCACACCTGGTGTGCCCAGTCACGGTACTCCCACACCTGGTATGCCCAGTCACGGTACTCCCACACCTGGTGTGCCCAGTCATGGTACTACCACACCTGGTGTGCCCAGTCACGGTACTACCACACCTAGTATGCCCAGTCACGGTACTTCCACACCTGGTATGCCCAGTCATGGTACTACCACACCTGGTATGCCCAGTCACGGTACTTCCACACCTGGTATGCCCAGTCACGGTACTCCCACACCTGGTATGCCCAGTCACGGTACTACCACACCTGGTATGCCCAGTCATGGTACTACCACACCTGGTATGCCCAGTCACGGTACTTCCACACCTGGTATGCCCAGTCATGGTACTACCACACCTGGTATGCCCAGTCATGGTACTACCACACCTGGTATGCCCAGTCATGGTACTACCACACCTGGTATGCCCAGTCACGGTACTCCCACACCTGGTATGCCCAGTCACGGTACTTCCACACCTGGTGTGCCCAATCGTGGTACTTCCACACAGTGGGAGGAGTACAATCCCACCCATCCCGTGGCCGGAGGTGGACTGGTTACAGTGATGATACAAAATAGTTTTTAGGTAAACCCCAAATGGTGCAGGTTTATGAACTCCTCCATCCCCAGATGGTGCAGGTTCTCACAATGTGCAACAAAGCACACAGTGAGTAAACAACGCTACAATGATATATAGCCTATTAACGTAACCAAATATTTGCATCAGCGATGACGAACTTGGAGAGCGGCGACACTAATTGTAGTTTGTGTTAAGAAGAACGGATAACAATAGATAAACAAGCAAACAATTAATTGATTTATAAATGAAATAAGAGACTTGGGGCAGGAGAGGATATGGATATTATCAGGATATATCATCAGGACGGAAGGATAAGGATATTATCAGGAGAGAGAGCTAAGCCAGCATAACAAAAGGAGGGTGGAAGGTGTACGCGAAGAGACTCTTACACATGTAAGAGAACGAGAGTGAGAGAATAATGCTGAACCATTAGCTCGCCCCCTTCATAGACACTCATGAAGCAGACAATGTACGTGTCCACGACAATGTGTGCTGGGAACGCTAACTGCTGATATCAATGGTGCCGCTGTTGGGCTTGGTACACACACAGTCATCACACACCAGACACTGACGAGGTCTTAGCAAGGCCCCCCACAGGTACACTTACTGATGGGAGCGTTGTGCTGCGGCCTGGGGCGCCTCCCGACCCCCCCTGTGTCAACCCTGTGGGGAAAACAGTCTTACGAACACAATACACAAGTGATTGGTTTGGGGATAGGCAAATCAATATATAAATTGGTAGGCAAGTCGATCAATGGATACATGATACTTCTACATCAAGTGTATCGTCTGTGGAAGCAGTGAGGGGGCATGGCACTCACCCAGGATGACCCCGAGGGCCAGGAGGGCCAGGCAGGAGAGGGCCACAGCCACCGCCGACGTCACCAAACATCTCCGGCTCCATTGCAGAGTTCTGTGGGTGGCAGGTGTTGAAACGTGCTGGCACACAGGTTATTACAGGTGTTTTAAACATCAGCCTCAAGGACTCGTGAATTTAGTCTTTTTTATAATATATATATATATATATATATATATATATATATATATATATATATATATATATATATATATATATATATATATATATATATATATATACAGGCGATTTTAATTATAATGTGAATTAATTTAAATATTGAATCCATAAACAGATTCAAATGTAGATATGATAAAACCAAGAGTTGAAGCTCAACTCCCACAAGCACAGCTAAGTTAGGTGAGTAGGTATACACACACGCACGCACACACACACACACACAGAGGAATAGGCTCAGGAATTGACGGTTGAGAGGCGGGACCAAAGAGCCAGAACTCAGCCCCCGCAAGCACAGCTAGATAAGTACACACACACATCACATACACACACACGACGACACAGCTACTGAATCCATGAAGGACGCGACATTTACCCCCGGGGTGAACCAAAATTTATCAATGAATAAATCCACAAGGGCCGTAATGAGGGTTCGAACTTACGGCCAGGATGATCCCAGACTCGCCTTAATCGACTGAGCCACGACGTGGTAAAAAGAATTGCAACCGGGATTGCTACTGCTCTCACACGAATCCCAAAATCTCTCCGATACACAAACTGGGGTTTTACACAACTCCCCCATGTGAATTGCTCTTGTGGATTTATTCATTCGATATTATCACCCTATTGTGATTTGTGTGTGTACAAAATTGATCATATAATGTAAGGCTTCGTCTAAGGGTTAAGGTTTGACAAGGGCTACTCACCGTGTGGAGGTGGTGGTGGTGGTGGAGGGGGGCGGCTGCCACTGAGTGATGACGGAGTACGACCCCGCCTCGTCCTGAGCGTACTGATACAGCTGCGACCTCAACCTTTTGCTCCTGCGACCCATTTTCCCTTACGAAGTCGACACGTTTTCCCCCCAGGCGGTCGATGAAGTTGTGTACTTCGAAGGCTGACCTGTATGCGTCGACGGACGGCCTGTATGCGTCGACAGGTGGCCGGTGTACGCAGCTAAGTTGCTTGAATACGTCAACAAATGGTGGAGGGGTTTTGGTCTACGGTTGACCACATGTCCTGATTAAGGTTGGGCTTCAGGCGCTGTCACTGGGCGATCCTGTGTGTTGGACTCTAGCAGCCTGGCTGTCATGTCTACTCCCCACCTCTATACCATTTTTCCTGTTTACTGTCATATTAAATATAATATACACAACAACGATCACAAAAACACTGATGCAAGTAATCTTAGGAGGCAGAAGGCAGACATAAATAATAAAACATTGACGCTGGAAAGCCAAATGAGTCTAAGAAACATTGTGGAAATACTCTTAGCCGGCACGCGGGACCAAGAAGCGGAATGCCTTGAAAGAAGTCACCACCAGGTAGAAAAGTGCTAGTAGGCGGGGGCCATGAGCTAGATCTGATTCCCTTCTAGTTACTGTTAGGTAAACACATCGACCTCAAACATCAACTTACAATGTTCCGGTACATTAAAACACTATAGCATAGTCTAACAACACAGGAGGCTTGCATGAGCACCAGGGCATAACACAGCAGGCCTGCATGAGCACCAGGACATAACACAGGAGGCCTGCATGAGCACCAGGGCACAACACAGCAGGCCTGCATGAGCACCAGGGCATAACACAGCAGGCCTGCATGAGCACCAGGGCACAACATATCAACACAGCACGTGAGCACAATAACAGCCCAGCGCCGCCACTACAATGACTGACCTTCACCGTTGTGTAGCGACGGCCAAGGACGGAGACCTCTTTTGTTTTGTTTTACACAGCTGGCCGCAACAGCAAGTAAAGAACTTCCGGTTGTATGAAACTGTGCTCTTTCTTCTTGTTGATAGTAGGTGCAGTTTGCATGAAGGGTTTGTCTTCTGAAACTGTGCTCACCTGCTACAGTGATCTCAGAGATGTCAGGTTATAGATGCTTTCGCGTTCTTTGTATTTTTTTTACAGATCTACGTTAGAGTTCTTTGTCGTATAAGACTGGGAAGGAAGTTGTGGACGGAGGTGGCTTCCACGACTTCTTTTAATGCATTCCACATGCTGGCCACTCGTTCAGGACACGAGTATTTCCCTACACTTCTCTGGCTCGTCTGCGTTTCCAGATTCCGCCTATTTTAGCCAATCCCATTTTCTTTTAAAGATACTATCCTTGTCCACCTTGCCTATTCCCTTCAGTATTTTGTATGTAGTGAACATATTTCTTGTTACTTCTCCCCTGAAGGATTGTGAGGTTGAGTTTCCTTAACCTGTCCTCATAGCTTAATCCTCTTGGAATAGTCGGTACAGTGAAGGACTCTTTTTGCAGGTCGGCGATCGATTTCCAATAGTCTAATTGGTTGGGTATTATTCCTTCCCCTTCGTATTCTTCCCTATTCGCAAATTGCAGTTAATACATAGTCATTAAAACACGAGAAACTACTCGCACATTGCATAGGAACTTTCTTTATTACTGAAGGTTTAGGAAGTGAGAGAACTACCCGAATGAGTCGACTCGTAGGCGACAATATTTTCGGACTACGCAAAGCTAATGAGGAAAGCTAATTACACGCGAGGAGGGTTGTAGGGTGCTGCCGGAACACCTTAAAGATCTCCACGTGCAGGCATGATAATGGCTGTTACAAGACTGTTAAGTGTAAGGTGATAAAGAGATAGAGCGGATAACAGGAGTCCTTCTAAAGAAAAGCATCTACGAGATGGGATATAACACGACAAGTGAACACTACAAGTGACACAGGCAGCATATCGGACAAACATAAGCACAGCGTTTACAATTTAAACAAGTACTGTTTCTAGATAATTTATACAGCCTGTGTAAGATCACACTAGAATACGCAGCACTGCCATGTAATTTGCATAAAAAGAAACTTGACAAAAAGTGTAGTAGTTTATATCAGGACTAGTATCTGAATTAAACTACGCTACGAGGACAGGTTTAGGGAATTTACATCTACCAACTATATAGGAGAGAAGGAGGAGAGGGGATATGGTCATTATGTACGAAATACTAAGGTGATTATATAGGGTGGACAAAGACAGCCACATTAAATAGAAATACAATAAAACAATGGGGCAAAGCTGTAAGTTGGAAAAGTAAACGAGTCCAAAACCCGTATGAAAAGTCTACCCTGTACAAGAGGTTAACTGGAAGACGAAGGCCTGGAAGCCACCTCCATCCACATCCTCCAGGTCACACATGCCACAGAACAGAGGAAACTAATAAAGGTCCAGAAGGAAAGAGAGCGACATGGCTCCCTCCCTCGGGTCTCATATCCTTCTCTCAATTAATCTAATCATTTTTAATTGATCATCAAAACTGTTTTCCTGCCGTCCTGAGGCACTACAAATGGGTGTTCCAGGCAACACAAGGTGCTCCATACCGCCAACTTTCACCAGCACACGCGCACAAGTCCTGTGCCAGACTCAAGACACATCACCTTCACAATATAGACATTTCCAGCCATGGCTCTTCTACTCAAACCCGTGCACTGGTACACTGTAAGACTCGGACCAGGGCGGAGCTCGACACGCAGCAGCAGAGGTAGAGGCAGGAGTAGAGGCAGTAGAGACAGCGTGATGATGGTGGTGGTAGTAGTGATAGACAGGGACTGAAGGGTGGCGTCGGGGGGTGGCAGAACCGTAAGGCTCCACTTCCTCCTTGCCGGATGTTGGCCATTATTAACCCGCTGGCTACTTCATATTGGCTGACTCAGCCTCCCCCTTTCCCTCCCCTTCTGGAAAATGTTAAGGTGGTGCCGGGGAGTGGAGGAAGAGGAAGGGGTGATGAGGGCAGGGAAGCGAGCACCCTCGCTACAGGGAGAAAAAGGGCGGGACAGGTAAAAACAGTCAGGTGAATCAGGTGATACCAAACCTGTATTTACCCAGGTCTTTCCTAAATCTAAACTTATCCAATTTATATCTATTGTTTCGCGTTCCATTAAGTGTTGATATATTTAATTACCAACATCTTATTTATGCCCATTCATCCACTTGTACACCTCAATCATGGCATCCCTAACTCTTCCCGTTTCTAGAGAATGTAAATTAAACCCTTTCAATCTTTCTTCATATGAAAGGTTTCTAATTTGTGGGATTAACTTCGTCATCCTACGCTGGACGCGTTCTAGTGAATTTATATCCATTCTATAGTATGATGACCAAAAGTGAACTGCAATATCTAAATGGGGCCTAACAAGAGCAAAATATAGCTGAAGAATGACACCAGGTGTTTTAGTGCTAACGCTCCTAGAAATAAATCCCAGTGTCATATTCGCCTTATTTTGAATGTTTATACACTAGTTTTTTTTTCTGCTATTCATGGTCCCATATCTTTTTCACAATCAGACAGCAATTTCAATACCATCCGGCTGATATATTGTAATTATCATCTTTGCTGTTTGTCATCAATAAATTGCATCTGCCAATCTTTCGACCATTTCGAAGGACTGTCTAGATCGTCTTCAAGTGATTTTGAGTCTTCCTCTGAATTCATTTCCTGCTTAATTTTTGTATTGTCGGCAAATGTGCAAATATCGCTGCTCAGTCCTGAATCTAAATCATTTATATACATTATAAATAACGGAGGTCCCAGAATAGAGCCTTGAGGCACTCCACTTACAACAGTTTCCCACTCTGACTTAAAGAGTTAGTACAAATGTGGTTGTTTCCTTTGGCACAACCATGCTCTTATCCAACTTAAAATAGGGGGCTCATGGTACTAGTGGTGCTATCTTGTTCTTCTATCTTCGTGTGGCACTGTATCAAAAGCTTTGCTAAAGGTACAGGATGCCACAATCCTTTCCACTATCGACTGTATCAAGCTCTTCCACTGGAGCAGAGGCCGCACAACGGCCTTATCTCCAGACCTTTATGTGTGTCAGGCTGGGGAGATAACAGAACAATACATATTTATCTCATATCTCTCCTATTTGCGTTATTCTGTATATTTAGTAATACGTCTTGCTAACAGGGAGATAAGTAAACAAAAACGGGACCTTGTAGACAGTCATTCGTGCTAACGAAGTGGATCGAATAGACGGGAAAAAAAGGCAACAACTAAACAATAAACACCGAAAAGAGTGAACATTTACCGATAGTGAGAATGAAAGGGAAAAACTGACCGGAAAGAACAAGTAGAAAAGTACCTAGTTAATTTCTTTACGTTGTGTGTGGTACCTAGAACACAAGACTGCAAAGGCTCGAGGAGACTGAACAGAACCCAAGTCGATTGAAGAGGAAACATAAAGATGAACCGAAAAGGATTATAAATCGTAAATGAGCAAAACAAACGAAGAATAATGGAGTTCATGAGCCCGCCACGCCCAAGGGGGCGTGTGGTGGGGAACCTTCCCCGCCCACGGGGCGCGCGGTGGGGAAACCCCGCCCAATGTACGGATGACACACCCAGCGATACAACCGCTTCAGCTGGCACGTCAGTGTCGGGGGAGTACCCCAGGCGTGCCCCAGGCGTGCCTTGGGCGTGCCCCAGGCGTGCCTTGGGCGTGCCCCAGGCGTGCCCAGGGTAAACGTCCCTCATGTAACATTGAATCAACCTTAATCTGCCGTTACTGGAACACCTTACAGTTGGGGGGAAACATGTTCGAATAGCGTCAAATCGACGTAGACTCACCGTCGTTTGACCAACAGGTGCGCTCTGCATGGGTTGTCCCCGATAGGGGTGCAGAGAGCCTTTAAGGTTCATTATTAACATGGACCGTGAAGGGTATAAGGCGTATATTTCGCGGCGAGTGCTCGCGACGCCGCGTCAAGGGGACAGACACCATGGCATTAACCGACCCAGGACAGGAAGCAAGAAACACGCAAGGGTTGCTCATCCACATTTCCAGTTTTTCTTGAAGGGTTGCTTTATCCAGCAATACTTGACGCAAGGGTTGCTTCATCCAGCTTTTTTCGACGCAAGGGTTGCTTCATCCAGTACGACAACTGTTTCCTTGACTGCCCTGCTATATAGTCGTAATGACTTGGCGCTTTCTCATGATCATTCCCCACATTCCCCTTGGCTGCCCTCCACCCACACCTACACCACCTGGCTGCCCTTAGCTCGGAGTAAGCTGTATATTTTCAATGACCTGACCTCAGGGAGGTCAATTAGTCTGGGCTCGCCAGCAGCGTGCTTAACAGTTAATGCTTTGGTCCAAAATGTCGATCGGCATGTTGGAATTTGTCTCTAAAGTAACTTGTAACTAGTTGGGTAGTAACTTGTGAGTAGTTGACGACGTCTACTTTCCATTGCATTAAGCTTAGACTGGTTTAGACGTCTCGCTCTTCACGCTCTAAACTATTGTTCCTTGTCAACCAACGTGTTCCTGACAAAGGTGTCAACTGTAAGGGATCTATCCCATCATTTATATGTCTGTAAATCTCTAGATAACTTTATCTTCTTAATGAAGATCTGTGGAACCAGCTGTAGCTTTCTCTTATCATGAAGTCGATGCTGGAAGGTAATTCGTCAGATGTATGTGAACAGACCAAATGCAGGGAATCACGTGCATTTGATAAGAAACTAATAAGGGATACCCTTCTTCCTCACAGTGTAAAGAGAGATGAGATACACACGGAGTTGATGTCCCGTGCGGGCAAGACGTTGCTTCAGATCAACTCTAACACAGCCAAAATAATCTTTGAGGTGTAGATACAAGGCTTCAGAGGTGGTGCTTGTGACTGAAACTAGTCCCCATAACCTGAGGTAAAATCCTACTGTGTTTACCTTTATAATATCGTACACAGACACACAAATGTTCTTCACACGCAATATCTGTCTACACTCGTCTATAAGTGGTTTACTAATGGTCCATCGCTACAGATTGGTACTCTCCACTAAACAGTTAAGTACTATCATTTCATGAGGATGGATTGCTTGCCTAGACATTACCCGGGAGGAAGCATTAAGGGCAACTAAGGTTAGGAAATCTATCACCCCTGGGGGAGGCTTAATTACCTCACCCTGCGGTTACTTTTTCTTTCCTAGATCCCGCGGATCAACGTCCATACCCATTGTGTGAGTGGTAGTGGACCCCATCAACTCTGAGAGAGAACTCTATGAACATCAGAGGCCAGAGACTGTTCAACACGCTTCCACTACACATAAGAGGCATATAACTGGCCGACCCCTCACAGTGTTCAAGAGAGAACTATCAACATCAGAGGCCAGAGACTGTTCAACACGCTTCCACTACACATAAGAGGCATATAACTGGCCGACCCCTCACAGTGTTCAAGAGAGAGAACTGAATAAGCACCTCCAAAGGATACCTAATCAACCAGGCTGTGATTCATATGCGAGGCTGCGAGCAGCCGCGTCCAACAGCCTGGTTAACCAGTCCAGCAACGAGGAGGCCTGGTCGAGGACCGGGCCGCGGGGACGCTAAGCCCCGGAAATACCTCAAGGTAACCCATACCCTTTGTGAGAGCTGTAGTGGCACGGGATGGGTATGGGGGATAGGTATACGTTACAACCACAGAAAATGGGCTTTCCAGAAACTGAACCTCAATGCACACTTAGCTAAGCAAGTGGCAATCTTGTGAAGCTAATTACACAAAGTATCAATGGTGGTTTACAGCCCAAGTGGTTCAAGAAGTGAGCCACCGGTCTCTACACACAACACTTTACAATGATAATACCACGGTGTTGTGGGTATCGTGCGCCTGGCAGTGAGGTGGACGCCGGACCATAGTAAACTTCCCTAAGAGTTAAAGTCAGTGTGAGTGGTGAGTGTGACGGTGTGAGGGTGTGGAGGCTCGTCAGTAAGGAGAAGCTCTTGACTGAAAACTCCTTATATATATTTAATTCTGCAAACGTGTATCATCCGAGCTTTAGGTAATATTCAATTACAATTTTGTTATGTATCACATAGATTAAGGACCTGCCCGAAACGCTGCGCGTACTAGTGGCTTTACAAGATTGTAAATACTGTACTATTCAATGTATTCTCACAAACCCAATGTACCTTCTTGTATATATATAAATAAATAAATAAATAAATAATAATAAATAATCATTTAAGCACAGTGTGGGGGGAAATGTTAATATATTTCAGATAGATGGATTGTGCTAATATATTATTTTGTACAAATACTTTGCGTAATATGTTCAGCTAATTGTTGACCAGACCACACACTAGAAAGTGAAGGGACGACGACGTTTCGGTCCGTCCTGGACCATTCTCAAGTCGATTCAGTTAATTCCAATTCAGGCACTTTAGGTGAATTCCTGATAGGATACATGATCAACCAGGCTGCGAGCAGCCGCGTCCAACAACCTGGTTGATCAGTCCAGCAACCGGAATGCCTGGTCGAGGACCGGGCCGCGGGGACGTTGAGCCCCGAGATCATCACAAGGTAACCACAAGGAAGGTGGTAAACTTTCAACAGTGGCACCTGACCTTTACCTGCATACACTCACAAGGTCACAAGCCACAATGCAGGACAGAAAACTGGAGAGGCTTTTTTCACCAATAGGAATATAAACCCATGGAACCGCCTACCCGCCGAAGCCGTAAATGCCCAAAAAATGACTGAATTTTAAAATCCACCTTGAAAAAAATCACCAGGACAAAAAGGGGGGATGGATCTTAGACAAGCCGCCGGCTTCCTGGATTCGTCGAGGCCACTAGAGAGATAATGGCCCCTCAGGTACATTCAGGTAAACAAAAAGACGGGTATGGAAGTATCGGCTTCCATACCCGTATCGGGAAGTATCGGAATCCAGTAAGTTCAGTAGAACTTCGGTTTCAACTCTTTTTAACCCTGTCGTAGCTCAGTCGATTAAGGCAGTGTCTGGGATGCTCCCGAACGCAGGTTCGAATCCTCGTCACGGCCCTTGTGGATTTGTTCATCGACCAGTGTGAGTTAGGCCTGGAGCTAGTTATATTGGGCTGTAGCTGCGGGGCCAGATAATGCTACAAGTTACACTATTCATAATTATTCTCCAGTGCACGAGCGTGGTGCGTGACTAATTAACTAATTGTAAGTAGCTGCAGGATGAGAGGCTCGAACCTGCCTCCTCACCGTCCACAACTCTGCTCGCAAAAGTGAACATTAGGACATGTTTTCGCCGGCTATCTTTTCTTAGCCTCTTGGTCTCCAAGTTGCAGGATTCAGAACCTCCTTGTCCACGTTTGTCGTGTCACGTGCATAATTTGCATGCACGTGGCGAGCAGTGATAATACGACTATCACGTGGTACAATGCCTTGTGGGGGAGACGTGGGCACGTGGTGGTCCCAGCCCCAACAGTGTGAACGATCCTGCACCGTCACTCCCATTCACTGTATACACGTGGAGGAAGTGCAGCGGCAACAAAATGTCCTGAATTTTGTAGCAAAGTAGTCTACGTCGTTAGCTGACAACCTTGGGACCTGATATTAATATGTAAGCAGTCCCTTGATTGTTTCAAGCGTGGGTTGGACATGTATATGAGTGGGATTGGGTGGTTATAAATAGGAGCTGACTCGGATGGGCTAATAGACATTCTGCAGTTACCTTTGTTCTTACGTTCTTAATCTCCGGTCAGGACAGAAACGGTTTGGCACGTTTCGTTTCAGATGATGCCTATATTCACCCAGCAATTTAATAGGTACCTGGGCGTTAGAACACTGTTGTGCGCCGCATCCTATTTATTCAAATATCCGTCAAAATAAAAATAAATCGTGATTTTACATTTTCGTATTAATAGACGTGATTACTACTCCCCCGCCCCAAGTGGGCGGCCGCCAACACCCAGCCCCAACACGTCAGGGTCAACTACAGGCGACCTTGGGCGGGAGCGCCCCGGGGTAGTGCGCCCCACGCGGCTAGACCAGTTAGGAGAGCTTGGCCTATGTCGGAGGCTCCTGGTGCTCCTTGTCGTCGCCTACTGGTTATCATCAGTTTTACTTCTTCCAGTTGTATCCGGGTTCCTGGATTTGGACGATCCTGGACGAGCGTTTGGCTCGTCTAGTTTTGCGTGTGTGTATTCACCTAGTTGTGTTTTGCGGGGGTTGAGCTTTGCTCTTACGGCCCGCCTCTCAACTGTTAATCAACTGTTTACTAACTTTTTTTTTCCCACACCACACACACACACCAGGAAGCAGCCCGTGACAGCTGACTAACTCCCAGGTACCTATTTACTGCTAGGTAACAGGGGCATTCTTGGTGAAAGAAACTTTGCCCATTTGTTTCTGCCTGGTTCGGGAATCGAACCAGCACCACAGAATTACGAGTCCTGCGCGCTATCCACCAGGCTACCCTTTGTGTGTGTGTGTGTGTGTGTGTGTGTGTGTGTGTGTGTGTGTGTGTGTGTGTGTGTGTGTGTGTGTGTGTGTGTGTGTGTGTGTGTGATACAGTGTGGACGCAGCCTTAATGTTTCACGTGCTCAATACTGACCTCATTTGTATTCATCAATAAGTATAATATAAGATGACTGAACTAGTACAAGTGTGGCAAAATGAATTAGCTTAAGGTCGTTAGCAGTCTTCTTGCCGGTTCCACAGTGACCTAACCGACTCGTTACCATAAGGTTGCTGGTAAGTGTTTTGACCATTCAAGAATGCCCTTAACGCCTACCTAAATACGAGAGAGAGACGTTGCGACTGCCCCAAAGTTATCAAACCAACAAACCTTTTTGATGACCAGACCACACACTAGAAAGTGAAGGGACGACGACGTTTCGATCCGTCCTGGACCATTCTCAAGTCGATTGAAGACCAGACCACAGACTAGAATGTGAAGGGACGACGACGTTTCGGTCCGTCCTGGACCATTCACAATCGACTTGAGAATGGTCCAGGACGGACCGAAACGTCGTCGTCCCTTCACATTCTAGTGTGTGGTCTGGTCATCATACTTTAGCCACGTTATTGTGACTCATCGCCTGAAAGTCGATTGAACCTTTTGTTCGTTCCATATTGACTGTAAACGCCCAATAAGCACCCGGTCGTACCCCCCCCCCTGTGGTCCAGTGACACAGTAGTTGCTAACAACCGTCTACAAAGCCCGGACAAAGGCAGCAATTACCCGACTGACAGCGAGTGCCGGATTATCGAACACCAATCGTTAAGTGTCAGTGTTGACACCATTAGTGCCACGTTACACAAATGAGTTTCGAGAAAATAATTAAATATCGAGTGCTACCGCCAGGGGCGCTAAGGGCCAGCCAGTTGTCAACAATAGTGCGCGTGCGGGCGCATAAGAGTGCGCATATGCGTATGTGAGTGGTGTGTGTGTGTGTGTGTGTGTGTGTGTGTGTGTGTGTGTGTGTGTGTGTGTGTGTGTGTGTGTGTGTGTGTGTGTGTGTGTGTGTGTGTGTTTACCTTGTTGTGTTTACAAGAAGCGAGATCCATCACTACAACCTTCAGAGTGGGCGTAAACACCTGAAAATGTAAAGACCTGACAACGTTTCCAAACACCTGAAAATGTAAAGACCTGACAACGTTTCCAAACACCTGGAAATGTGACGACCTCAAACACCTGACAACGTTTCCAAACCTGACTGTGATGGAGCTGTATATTATCGCCCCAACACCCGCCAGACGGAAACTCAAACAAGAATAGATGAAATATATGAAC